CTCAGGTGAGTGTTAAACGCTCATGAATGATAAGGCATGTTAGGTGCTTAATGATACTACTAATCAGGTGAGCTTTAGTTGTTTAAAACTAGATTTACTGCTCTGTATGGAAGATTCAAGGCCTAATAGGAGAAGTAGAATCTAGCCATGACAAGATCACGCATGGCAGACAAAATGGAACTTCAAGGGAACTTTCTATAGTTCTGCTAAAGTGTTCCACTCCCAGGTAAGGTCAACTTTGCTAACTTAAAAGTACATATGCTGCTTCTAAATACAGCATAATATTTAGAAATATAAACATTACTAAGATGTACAGAAAAAAAAAAGATGTCCTATATTAATCATCTGAACCTAGGAAAAAAAAACAAAATGTATCATGCATTTACTTTTTAGGCTTCTTAGTGTTAATATTCTACAATAAACTTTGGAAATTTTCATATAGTGTTTTTAACTTTAAAACTGTGAGTGGCATATTTTAAGGCTTAAAACAAAGAAAAAATGCTTTAAAACATTTGTCTTAGTCATCTAGTGCTGCTACAACAGAAATACCATAAGTGGATGGCTTTAACAAAAAGCAATTTATTTCCTCACAGTAAAGTAGGTTAAAAGTCCAAATTCAGGGCATCGGCTCCAGGGGAAGGCTTTTTCTGTCGGCCTTCTCATCAGTGTTCCCCTGGACTAGGAGCTTCTCCACATACGGACCCCGGGTCCAAGGGACGTGCTCTGCTCCCGGCACTGCTTTCTTGATGGTATGAGGTCCCCCCAATTCTCTGCTTGTTTCCCTTTTCTTTTATCTCTTGAGAGATAAAAGGTGGTGCAGGCCACACCCCAGGGAAACTCCCTTTACATTGGATGTGACCTGGGTAAAGGTGGTGTTACAATCCCACCCTAATCCTCTTTAACGTAAAATTACAATCACAAAATGGAAGACAACCACACAATTCTGGAAATCATGGCCCAGCCAAACTGATACACACATTTTTGGGGGGACATAATTCAATCCATGACAACATTTAGTAAGAGGTTTGCACCAAGCTCATGGCATTATAAATCCATGTCTTAAAATGGGTTGAATTTGGGACATTGATATTATTAGGGCATTACCCTGTAATGGGGCAGAAAAGAAAGCTGCTTCAAGTTAGAACACAAAATAGACTCCACTTGTAAAGTATGCTAATGGTAACACAGTTTCACTGCCAAAATCTAGGCATATTTTGTGTCATTAAAATATTTTAGGGCTTAACATAGCTATTATGATTGCAATATCCACAGACATATTCTAACCTTTGCAAATGCTGAAACTGCAAAATATTTTTGACATCAACCTCTAAATCAATACTTCTCAAACATGTTATGGTGTCAGAATGCATGAAATATCATGGGATCTTTACAAAGCCCCATGGAATACTAATAAATTAACCTTTAAATCATGGCACATATCATTTTCGATTAAATTGAACACTATTTCATATCATGTTTTAGTGTGGCACAGGTCAGAGTCTAAACATTTAAGAAATATCCATAGAAAAAAATTTAATTGGAAAGCTTTTCTGCTAATCTTTTTTCAAGTTATTTTTTTCCTATGAGTTTGATATTTTTTTAAAAAATGGATTCGTTCATTTAGGTATGCAATGCAGTATAGTAAAAAGTAAACATGTTTTCCCTTGAGAAAGACCTATATTTGAAACTGGCTTCACCATTTTTGTTATGTATCTGTCTTAGGCTGAGTTCTCTAGAGAAGCAAAACCAGTGAAGTGTATATATATTGTATGTGTGTATATATATATACAGAGAGAGAGAGAGACAGTGAGATTTATCTTAAGGAAATGGCTCACGTGATTGTGGAGGCTGACAAGTTCCAAGTCTGTGGGTCAGGCATCAGGCTGAAGGCTTCTCCTGACTCGTGTAGCTGCAGGGGCTGACAAACCCAAGACTGGCAGGTCAGATGGCAGGCCCCTAGTTCACAGGCTATGGAGGCTGACAAATCCTGAGATCAGCAGGTAAGCTGCTAACTCTCAAGTCCCGAGAACTGGACGTCTGATGATGACAAGCCAGACACAGGATACAGAGCAAGAGCCTTGCTGAAACATCCATTTATATAGTGGAGGCAGGTGACCCCCCAAAGGGAACTCCCTTTCAACTGATTGGCTGCTCATAGCAGATCTCATCATGGAGTTGATTACATCATTACGTAATTGCCAAACTACATCATAACTGCCAAAACACTCAGAATCGTGGCCCAGCCAAGTTGACACACAACTTTAACCATCACAGTGTCCTTGCTGAGATCATTAAGTCTTCCAAGCTGAAACTTTCTTATTGATAATATGGAGATAACATTACCCACCTTATAGGACTGCTGAGTTGTTATTATTGTTTTAAGTTGTTAACTTTTTTACTGTTTTGTAAGGAAAATTTCAAATATATATGAAGGTAGACAAAATAGTATAATCAGCCACCAAGTACCCATCACTCAGCCCCAACAATCAGCAACCCAAGGCTTATCATGCCCCATCCACATATCCACCCATTACCCACCCTTCTCCCATTATTTTGAGGCAAATACAAAACATCGTATCATTTCATCAATAAATATTTTCATATGCATCTATAAAATATACTCTAACATAATCATAATATGTTATCACATTTTAAAATTAACAATTGACAATACAATATTATTTTTTAATTTTCTTATGTCGTAAAATGGTATTGTAGTTTTTGGCGGTTTAGGTTTTTTAAATTTTTTTTAGTGTTTTTTTTGGTTTTTTTGTTTGTTTTAAATCAGGATCCAAATAAGGTCCACACACTGCAATTAGCTGATACATCTTATATGTCTCTTTTAATCTTTTTGGTCCCACATCTGGTCCTCCTCTTCCTTTGTAATGTATTGGTTAACAAAACTGGTTGTTGGTCCTATAAAATGTCCCACCATCTGGATTCTCATGGTTGCAAACCGATGACTTAGTTTAACACATTCCCTCATAACCTGTATTTTCTGTAAACAAGTAGTTGGATCTAAAGTCTTAATCGGATTTAGGTTCAGTGTTTTAAGGGTGAGGGAGCAATAATACTTCAAAGGTATTGTGCTCTTCCATCAAGAGACACATAATGTCTAGTTATTTCTCTTTTTGTGATGTTAGCAGCTGTTGCTATTCAATGCCTAGATCCAACGGCTCATTAAAAAAAAAAAATACAGTTGCCTTTGAGTCAATTCTGATTCATGGCAATCCCATATGGTCAGAGTAAAACTGTGCTCCACGGGGTTTTCAATGGCTGTGATCTTTTAGAAGTAGATCGCCAGTCCTTTCTTCCGAGGCATCTCTGGGTAGACTTGAACCACAAACTTTTTCATTAGTAGCCAAGTGCTTAACCATTTGTGCTACTCTCAGATATTCCATCGATTAATTCCAAACCAAACCAAGCCTGATGCCATCAGGTCAATTCCTACTCATGGCAACCCCATGTGTTAAAAAATAGAACTGTTCCAAAGGGTTTTCTTGGCTATAATCTTCAGGGAAGCAGATGTCCAGACCTCTGGGTAGACTCAAACCAGCAACCTTTCGGTTAGTAGTTAAGCACAAACTGTGCCACCCAGGGACCTGGGGTTGCAAAATGATGATATTCTCATTCTATGATCCCTTCTTTCTTTATTAGTTGCAATATTTCTATAAAGAGAAATTTCCCTCATTTAATATTTGGTCACTTGGTGATACAGGTCACATTGAGAAGACAGGATAAATGCTTGGGTTTTTTTCCTTTTATTTGATTGATTTCAATATAATGAGTTGATTCCCTAGCGCCCTCCAAAGTTGTCTCTACTTTCTTTTAGTATCATTAACTTAGGGATTCAAAAATATTTGATATATTTCAATCCTTTGCAGTTTTTATTTTTATTGATATGCAGATCATCCCAACTGATGCTTGTGAGTCTCTACAAGTCGGCTCATGAGTCCTTTTCATGAGACTGTAGTAGTCTTGACAACTTCCTTGCTACCTGTTATTGTATAACACACTAATTTTGCATATGTCCACTCCCAGAACTGCAATAAGCCATTTTTCCATAGAGTCCTGTTTCTTTTAAGTGGGAAATGGCATTTTGAGACCATAATCTGGGCACTAGAGGTGCTCCTTGCTATTGAGTGGGCCATTTGGTTATTGTTTTTAGGCCTTTTCAGTGAAAGAGCTAGAAAATACTGCCTGTTTTTGTTTTTTAAGATAAAATAACTCACAAGTTTATGAAGATACTTGCAATTTAATTTTAGGATTATAAGATTTGTGTTTAGTTTCTTATATTGTACATCTGTATCTCCTTTCTCGCACACCAAGAATCTGAGGTCTTAAGAATTCCAGAGACAAAAAGTTAAATTATCACATTTGTATTGTTCATTTGCTTTAGCCCGCATTATCCACACAGCGCTCTCAGAATAGCAATGCCAATGCTATCACCAACAATGTGATTATTGTGAAACATTTTTTTAACATTTATTTGTAGTTCCTTTGGTCCTTGGATATATCTACCTACAATCATATTCAAATGTGTTAAAGTCACTTGGAATAATTCTTCTTGATGGTTATGCTGAGAAGCCCTAGTGGTGCAGTGGTTAAGTGCTCGACTGTTAACTGAAAGGTCAGAGGTTCGAACCTATCAGCAGCTCCATGGGAGAAAGATGTGGCAGTCTGCTTCTGTAAAGATTTATAGCCTTGGAAACTCTACGGGGGGCAGTTCTACTCTGTCCTATAGGGTTGCTATAAGTTAGAATCGAGTCGGCGGCAATGAGTTTTTTGGTTTATGGTTATGCCACCAACTGAAAACAAAACTTTGTTGTTGCTATCTTATTTTCAATATTGGGAGACTGTACTTTTTAAATCTAATTTTGTTTTATAATTATGTATAATATTTACATGATCCCAAAGTCAGATATATAAGACAGCTAGATAGACAGAAGCTTAGCTTCTATCCCTCTCCCTCCACCTTATTCTCTCACTCCTCTTAGCTTTTGTTTTTGGAATTCTTCACAGATTTGTATGTCACCCTTGTGCAAGGGCCATGCCAGTCTTCTCTGAATGCATAATTTTAGTATAAGTGTGGCTCAAGCATCCACAGAGAATTATTTGGAGGGGTGAACTGTAACATATGCAGCATCTAATACAGTTCCTCTACGTGGAAGTCACTTAATAGAGGCCAGCTATGATTTTAGTCTTATTTAAAGAAGAAAAAAGTCTCCTCTTTCCTAGTTTTCAAGATTGGAGTTGCAGGAATTACTCTGGAGACAATACTATTTCACATCACTCTATCGCCAACACCCAGCACACTATCTGGCACCCTGTAGAGATTCAATAAATGTTTGTTGAGGGAGTGACTGAATGATGGATGCTCCTTAAACCTGCTGCTGCTATCAGCATGGAGGTCAGATACAAAAGGCCCAGTTAATGGTTTTTAAATAGAATATAAAAAAAAAACCAAACTCGTGCCTTCAAGTGGATTCTGACTCATAGCAACCCTATAGGACAGAGTAGAACTGCCCCATAGGGTTTCCAAGGCTGTAATCTTTACAAAAGCAGACTGCCACATCTTTTTCTCACTGAGTTGCTGGTGGGTTGAAACAGCTGACCTTTTGGTTAGCAGCCGAGTGCTTAACCACTGTGCCACACAAACCCATTGCCGTAGAGTTGATTCCAACTCATAGCGACTCTATAGGACAGAGGAGAACTGCCCTGTAGGGTTTCCAAGGAGATCCTGGTGGATTCAAAATGCAGACCTTTTGGTTAGCAGCCAAGCTCTGAACCACTGTGCCACCAGGGCTCCTTAAATAGAGTATGGTTGCATTTAATGTATATATTTAATACATATATAAAACCAGCTGCTGTGGAGTCGAATCTGACTCATGGCAACCCCATGTGTGGCACAGTAGAACTATGCTCCATGGGGTTTTCAATGGCTGGTGTTTTGGAAGTAGATTGCCAAGCCTTTCTTCTGAGCTGCCTCTGGGTGGACTTGAACTGCGAGCCTTTTAGTTAGTAGCCAAATATGTTAATCATTTGCACCACACAGGGACTCCTTAATACATATACACATAAATGTATATATTTAATATTTAATACATATATATTTTAATGTTGCATAAACCTAATACAAGGGGAAATTTTTTAGTTAAAAATCTTACTTTTTCTTAATTAGAAAGGAAAATCTACCCAACCATTTTGACTTTGTAGAATTAAAAACATATTAGCATTAAATCCCAGATGGGAGAGATTAAGAGAAGAATTCATCCAAATCGACTGGGAGTATTGTCCTCATTGGTGGTCTGCCACTGTAGGTGTTTAGAATTGGAAGCAGAAAAGCCAGCATCCTAAAACAAAGAACAGTCTGATTCCCCAGCCAAGCCTTTGGACTAAAGGTGTTTGGAAGAAAGAACATTATTTACTCACGGTTGCAGGTAAAGAGTTAAAAATAGAAAAGAATACCTACGCATACATACAAAAGAAAGAGATAGACTACACCTGATAACAAAGTATAATTAACATTTTTGAAATTTTTATTTTCTTCCTTAATAAAAACTTAGAAAATAAAAGTATAATTAGAATTTCCTCAAGTCTCATCACTCCTGAAAACAAACCTTTGTCTACTTATCCTGTGTTCATGGGAGTACACAGGAGGTTCACACAGGCTTGCTCTAGAATTGCTCTTAGTGCGGTGGAAGAGATAAGACACCCATGCAAATAATTACAAGCCCAGATGAAGCTATAGGACCATAAAGGAGCATAAGCTACTGTTCTCTTAAGAGCAGAGGAACCACTTTAGGCTGAGGGCCTCTCGGAAAGCTGCCTGGAGGAGGTGGCATGTAAGCTGGGCATCACAGGAAACACTGAAGGGCTTTGTATGCCAAGGGCCAAGTGCAGGCAGAGGTCAGGAAGAGCAGAGCATGAAGTCCAGTTTGGCCAGACCACAGGGCACATGAAAAGAAAAACAGGATAAGGGAAGAAAGGTAATCAGAGATCAAGCCATGTGGGAGCCTGAATGCTGGTTAAGGAGCTGAGCTACTCCAGAGGAGAAGACGGGTATCCATTGAAGTTTTTTGACAAAGGAGGTAGTCTTAACAAACAAATCTTCACTGAGCATGTACTATGTGCCAGACTCTGAGGCTATCATCATGAAAACATATAGTTCCTGCCCTCAGAAGAGGAAATAATCATTGTGAAGAGGAGAGGAAACTAATGTGAGAACCCCAAAAGGGAAGAGGGAAGGATTTGATGAGAGAAGTACTTATTTACACCTTCTCCTCACTTATCGACTATCTCATTATCTGACACTTCACATTTATGACAGTAGTAAAAAATCTACTAGCCAACTATTTTGCACACTAACAGTATACATCTGGCAGTGACACACACCAAGGTACGAGGCAAGAGTAATGCTGGCTTTGATGGTTAAGGTTATGTGTCAACTTGACTGGGCCATGATTCTCAGTGTCTTTGCAGTTATGTAATGATGCAATCTGGCAGTTATGTAATGATGTAGTCATCCTCCATTTTGTGATCTATGTGATCATCCTTCATTTTCACATAAGACTGATTTCGCATAACGACCTGATCTTTGGAACCTGACCTCAATAAATGAGGAGAGGGTATAGTTAAATTTGGGGGAATGGAGGTATATGTTATATTATGTACATTAATTTCCACATGGTAGAAATCTCGCCTTTCACACAGGAGACTTGGGTTTGATTCCAGGCAATATACCTCATGTGCAGCCACCACCCATCTGTCAGTGGAGGCTTGCATGTTGCTGTACAGGTTTCAGTGAAGCTTCCAGACTAAGATGCACTAGGAGGAAAGGCCTGGAGATCTACTTCTGAAAATTAGCAATTAAAACCTTATGGATCACAGCAGTGTGATCTGCAACTGATCATGGGGATGGCGCAGGACGGAGCAGCGTTTTGTTCTGTTGTGCATGAGGCCACCAGGAATCAGGGGTGAATGATGGCAACTAACAACAACAAAATGAATTCACCTCTGGGTGAGATTAGGTTCACCTGCATTCCTTTTTTTTTTTTTTAAGCATCCTGGAAATTTTTCTTCATAGCATTTTTTCTACCTCCCAAACACACTATAACCTTTATGGATGGGGGAAGGTGGGGTAAGAGGTAGGTATGGTGAGAGTGTACCAGGTCTATTTGAATTTCTACTGCTAGACTTGATGACTTATTTACCCAAACAGCAAACCCTGAGGGAATGCTGCATCCTGAGCTGCGTCAAGAAAACACAATCCAGGGCTTGGGGTTTGGAGAACTTTCTGTTTAGTCTCATGTACCCAGAGTCAGCAGTGATAGCCTATGACAGTGACTGAAGGGAAGGTGAGGGTAGAGTCAGGAAGGCTCTCCTGAAGAAGTAACATTGAGCTGAAGGATAAATAAAGATTAGACAGAGGTGGCAGGGGAGAGGAAGGGGGTATAAGAAGCACAGGGGGATATTCTAGAAAATTGGGTCAATATATGTGAAGACTGTAGTTGGGAAAGAGCCACTTGAAAGGAAATATGAAAGCATCATTTATAACATCGGGTCTAGAGATTCGCTGGAAGCCAACGCAGATAGAATGGCCAAGTGGGGCACCCCTAACAGCCACACACTTGACCCCAAGATTCTGCTTCCTCTGGAGATATCTCACCAACCACAGCGGCCAGCAGCACACCAACCTTGGGGCTACTGCTCTGTCTTAGTCATCTAGTGCTGCCATAACAGAAATACCACAAGTGGATTGTTTTAACTAAGAGAAGTTTATTTCCTCACATTCAAAGTAGGCTAAAAGTCCACATTCAGGGCGTCAGCTCCAGGGGAAGACTTTCTCTCTCTCGGCCTTCTCATCAGTGTTCCCCCAGACAAGGAGCTTCTAGGCACAGGGACCCCTGTCCAAAGGACACGCTCTGCTCCCGGCACTGCTTTCTTGATGGTATGAGGTCCCCCTGTCTCACTGCTCACTTCTGTCTTTTGTATCTCAAGAGAGTGCCTCAGGACAAAATCCAGTCTTGTAGATCAGGTCCTGCCTTACTAACACAACTGCCACCCATCCTCCCTCATTAACATCATAAAGGCAGGTTTACAACATACAGGAAAATCACACAGTACCAGGAATCATGGCCTAGCCAAATTGATACACACATTTTTGGGGGGGCATAATTCAAACCATGACATGCTCTCATTTGATAACTCCAGCCCAAGGATGGATAGTAAAGTCCAGGCTAGAAGGTAGATGTTGTTTTTGTTCACTGACATTGAGTCAGTCCCCATCCCATGAAGACACCATACTCAACTGAACAAAACAACACCTGGTTCTCAGCCATCCCCATCAATGACTGATTTTTGGAAGTAGATCACTAGGCCTTTCTTCCTAGTCTATCTTAGTCTGGAAGCTCCGCTGAAACCTGTTCAACATCATATAGCAACACATAAGCCTCCAGGGACAGGTGGTTGGTGGTGACCCATCAATGCCATCCCAGTTTGCCTGGGACTATCTCATATCCTAGGAAACCCCAGTCAGGGAAAACAAGAAAGGTTGATCACCCTACAAGGGTTTACAGAAGACTCCGGCTGAGTATTACAAAAGGTAACTAAATATAGAGAATAACCCAATAGACACTTTCAAGATCCTTCCTTACCTGACTCCATGGCAGAACCATCTTCCCCCACCATCTGGAAGAGCTCTCAAGAATGTCTCAGTTCCCCAAAGTCTAGACCCAAGAAAACACATTCCAAAGTGCTAAAGCCCAAAGCATGAGCAGACAAAAGTGCCCAATGAATGATCCAAGCCCCACAGAGTCTTAGCCCACCAGGAACCTCTTTGAAATCCATTCTTGCACTTTTGTGATGTGGGCGAGAACTGGCCAACCAAAGGGAAAATTCCCAAAATCCAAATAAGTCAATCAGAACATAGTGCCTAAAATCTCTCATGATAGGGAATAAATTCCACTATTGCTTCTACATCTAGCTGTTCCAATTGCAGCTTGGATGGAATCAGCAAAGTCTTTTCTTGAGTAACATGGCTCTCTCCTGCAGGGCCATCAAATAAACTCACCTTTGTTTTGTAGCTCTGTTGATCTTTGTTTTA